GGTATTTCATTATATTAATTAAGTGTAATGATGTATGCACGTCCAGCTTGTATTCTATTAATTCGAATTTCAGTTATGTTGGTTTTGTTATACGTTATCTACAGTGGCTCATAGCTTCAGGAATGTGGGTCATTCTCCATGAGCCAATATGTTCTGAATGTGCATAGTAAAATGCAGAATACTTGAAAGTTCTAAAAGTAATTGTTGGATATTATATCAGTGCACATTTGTATCTAGTTGATCTTAATCAATTTATACGTAGTTGCAGTTTATTATTATTTTTATTCTTTCTTTATGACTGCTTTTATGATAAATTGATAATAATATCTTTATATATAATATTTCTTTTTAATATTAATCCAAATAAATATCATGTTTATGCATGATGTAAATATTACAAAAAAAAAGTAATAAAAATATATTTATATTTTTATTTTATATCTCATATATTTTTCTTTTTTTATGTAATTTTAATTTAAGTAATTTCCATTTTAAAGATATTACTTGTAATCATTTCTTGTAGAATTAACAGAAATTCTATATTTTAATGAAAAATATTGTATTTTTATATAAATTTTGAATGTGTTCAAGCAGTGTTATGTGAGTTTACTGATGTTTCTAAACACATTCACGCACGCACGCACGTGCATTATAAAATACCTATTAAGAAACACTTCATCATAACTACTTCTGGCCTGCACGATTTTTTCGACAGTATTTTTTCAACAGTCATTTTTAGTACATACAAAAAAACATACATATTACGAAATTGAAATAACACTTATTTATAATAAGAGTCTTCTATATAATTGACTTCCCTTTATGATCACGATTAAGGAGAATGACCCTGAGTTATATGAAAGAAATATACAGTAAAACAATATAGCATTGATATTTTCTACCCAAAAATTCTTTTTCATCTATGATAGAGCTATATGTTCTATTCCTGTATGAAGTTATGCTTACTTACTGCAGGAATATTTAATCATAGGTTATGTACAGTATACTTTGTTTATTAAATGACAACTCAGGTATCACGCGAGATCTTGTGACAATGGCTACACAGTCAATTACTACAGGAGGTTGCGAAGTGGACGACGATGGAGATGGGTCTCAGGGGACAGCAGAACCTAATTTTGTTCCTCAACCATCAACTTCGCCAGAACCTGTTTCCAACATACCATGCAATCAGAAACAAATTAAAACACGACCTTATCCATCTAAGGAAGTACTGCCTCAGAAGGTACAATGAACATGCATTGTGGCCAGGCTTAAAATGTATAGTAGTCATTCGTGTAACAATATTGTAATTCCAAAGTATTACAAATTATGTGACGATCAATATTTATTGAGATATTTTTAACTTGTAAAATTTTGTCTAATGGTAAATGCATTTAGCACTGCTTGAATGAATTTCAACGTTTTTAAATATATGAAGCTTATAATCAAATTTATTTCAGTTGGTACATGTAGGTGCACTAGAGGTGCAAAATGTTAAGAGAGCAATTAACCGTTATGGTACCCTACCTAAGGGTGCAAGAATTGGCGCCTACCTAGAAAGTCTTCGGCAGAGCGGAATGCCTTCTAATCAAGAAAATATTGCAACTACTTCGGCAATATCTACAGTTGTGGAACAACATGACGTTACAAGTAGTACGGATACGCCGCAGCATCGTTCGCTTTCTCCTCGTCAAAACAATTTACGTAATCAGCCTCAAATGACGCGCAGTAATTCTTCCAGTGGTGTAGTAAATACTTATCAACCACCAAATTCACCACGCAGTCGGACAGTAGGGATTAGAAAAAATAATACAGAAAATATTGGATTAAGAACTTTCCGAGGTCCAAATAATACTGGTTTCAGAACAGCCAGTCCATCAAGATCTGTTCAACCAACGCTTGCTGATCTTGAATTTCCTCCACCACCTATTGACTTGCCACCACCACCAGATGAAATTTTTAATCCTGCAGATCAATGTGATTTGCCTCCGCCTGTAACGGCTTCTCCAAATAGTGATATTTCTCATATTAAAACTAATTCACCAGTAAGTGTCAGAAAATTAAAATCAGAATGGAAAATAAAGGATGAAGTAAATGATGATCAAGATGATAAGAACAACGATGTTAGAAATGTAGAACCTTCTGTGAAAGAAGCTAGTTCTAGATTTGGTGTAAACTTACGTCGCAGAGAAACTACTAGCGAAATACATTGTGCCGTAAATAAATCTTTGGATGATAAAAAAACAATTCTTAAAACGAAAGAGGTATCTAGTAACGTAAGACTGGAATCAACGGAATTAACATCATCTCCGGAAGAAGCACCACCACCGCCTCCACCACCACCTCCACCTCCTGCTGCTGTTAGTATAACAGATACATTTGAATCCAAACCAGGGATGAAGGAGATGTTAGAGTTAAAATTGGTTAATGAAATAAAACAAAGTGCTGATATGAAACACGGAGGATCTGTAAAAAAAAGTGGAATTGCAGGTAATGTACCTTCATTACCTCTTGATCCTGCATCTCAGTTATTATCAGAGTTATGTGCCAGCTTTAGTATGGATACAAACAAACATTCAGTACAAAATGAATATGCCATTTCTAATCTGAAGAGCAATGATAGTTTTTCAATTGCACAGGATCATCATTTAAATCTTGATAAACACACTACACACAAAGAGATTGATGCATCTTCACCTATAACAGAGAGTGTAATAAGCACTGGCAATATAGGCTTCAAATTGAAAAAAGTAGATAAGAGGAATAACCCGCAAAAGGAAGAAACTGGAGATAATCAAATAATTGATTTTAAGGCTAGATTACGAAAGGTAGATAATGCAGAAAAAGATAAAGTTGTGGAAGATAAAACAAAACGGTTTGATGATATTGGAAGTAATATCACAGATTCTTCAGAATTAGGTACAGATGATCAAGTTGATGATAAACGTAGAAGTACCGGAAGTATAAGTAGCCTAAAAAAATTATGGGAAAATAAAGAAGCTTCCTGCGATAATCAACCGCTCAGTCCTAAATTAAGTGTTCGAGGTGTAAATAAACCAGATATAGTTGATGCAGGTGAAGATTCACCAGAAGATCATAGTGGGGCATCAACACGTAGTTCTACGAGTAAAGGAGACACAAGAGTATGGCCTCCGACATCATCCACAGATATAGAAAAACCTGTTGTGCCAGCTAAGCCACTAAAACCATTAGTTTCTTCAACTAAACATTTTGGTTCCTCAATATACGCTACACCAAATTGTAATAAGTCTACTTCACAGACAGATGAAGATGCAAATAAACAAACTGCCGAATCAAAAGGTGCAGTAAAACATAGTGTAATCGAAATTTCGAATGTCATTGAAAATAGTATTTTGAATCTTAGAGGTAGTCCAACTATAATCATGGCTAGTTGGCTTCAACTATCCGATAAAGTTGGTTTGCTCCATGGTATGTGCATAAGTCTTACAGATACTGCAATAGCACCACACGCGAGGTTTCAGTTCCGCGATTTACTCACTAGACTTGAGCTACAAGCACGACAACTAAGAGCAGCTGGAACAAGAAATATTGCAGAGAATACAAGACTATTAAGTGAGGTTCAAAATACAATAAAAGATGTAATAAATACAGTGCAGAGATAAAGTATATATTGGTGGTGGAAAATCAAAAATAACATTTCACACTCTCTTACATTTCTGTTAAAATATTGAATTTTAATTTCTGTCACCAGTTTGAATATATATAATAAATATACGTAAATATATATATATATATATATATATATATATATATATATATATATATATACATACATACATACATACATACATACATACATACATACATACATACATACATACATACATACATACATACATACATACATACATACATACATACATACATACATACATACATACATACATACATACATACATACATACATACATACATACATACATACATACATACATACATACATACATACATACATACATACATATATATATATACATACATATATACATATACATGACATAGCATATCTTATTTTAATCAATGCATCAAAATATTTTTAACCAACAAATTTCAAATAAAAATATTTCCATGTATTGATTCATTAAAATGAGATATCCTTATGTACAACGTATACGTCTATGTGTATAATATGAATCATAAATCATACATGCATACATAAATATATATATAAGTATAGATATATATCTAAGTCACTAGTAAGATCTAAGAACAATGTTTTAATCATAGTAATTATGCTTTAAATAATATCAAGTAATGAATGTGAATGAAAGTAAGGGTTGTTGAGTTATAGTTGTATGTTTATGCTATTACAAAAATTTTGTGCAGTTGAAGCATAATAAGAAAGTACACTACAAATATTTCTTTAATATGTATTTCTAAAGATATTGATTTGCAAGATTCATAATTTTACGTTTGCACATATTTAAAAAATACCGATTTTAGTGTCAAAAGTATTGAATATTATTATCTATGATCATGTCATATGATCATATCTAAGACTTTGCAATATAAGCTTTGATAAAAGATATTCATTTTGCATGATTACATTTTTATATAAAGAGACATATGATCTAGAATATAATAGTATATGTGATGATCATAGTAACAATATGAATAGTTTATCACAGTTTTAATAATAACTGAAGTACCAGTGGTGCATATAAATGTAATGTGAATGATTGCCATTACAAAATGTAGACACTTTCTTAAGCTGCTTATGTATCGTAAATCATTTCATTTACATGTAATTTTATACACATCATTGCTTAGTACATTTATGCGAAATTGTAGGTCACATTATAAATACAAACTATAATGTTAAGATATCTTACATGTACTGTGGGACAATATAACAATTTTGTATTTGTATAGCATAAGTTGAATAACAACTGTACTAAGTATCGTATGCCTACATAAATTATCCAGAATGAGAAAATTGAATGTAATTAATCAAATTCTTAAGTGTCGTGTGCTTTGTTTAATCATGGATATATGGAAATGTTCTTCCAAAGGCACAGCAGTAAAGGAATATGTTTGGAAATTTTCATAAAAATATCGGCGCATTGACTCCTTACTCTTGCACATATTTTTTATACAAATTTTTATCGGACCAGTAAGTTCACATTCAGAATAATTTTTCTCCAAAATGTGTAGCAGTCATAACTTTTAATTATTGTATTAATGCAATTGGAACTTATAAAAAACAAATTTCTCAATTTATTATAAAGTTCAAAATTTTTTTATATACTTAATTTATAAATTATAATATATATACTTTCAAATACTCAAAAGTTATAACAATAATTTTCAATATAAATATAATTAATTTAATTGATTACTCAACCAATATTGTTACTTATTCTGTTGTTAAATCTACAATATTTTTTATTTATTTTATGGGAATTTTTGAACTTATACTTTATTAAATCTGTGCTTAAAACTAAGTAGAATGCAATACAAGCAGAAGTAATAGTGACCAATGAAATGTGTCTTATGACACTGCCTATTAGTACATTCAATATATTAACATTAATAGTATACAATGTAATTTTGGTTGAATTACTCATTTTCTTTAAATCATTTGTACCTGTGATAAGCTAAATTATTATTTTGTTATTTGTATTAATTGAAAAACTGAATTCAAGAAAAAAGATAATTACAAAAATGAATTTTAGCTGATGGATATTCATTTAGAAATTATTATTATTAAAAGAGACATGAAAGTCCTTGTTTTATATAATATGTATTATAGTAGTTTTATGTCTATTTATACTTGTATTTATTTTTTATTTTTTGATGTAAAATTACATTTCTAAAAAGACCAATGTACTGATTCACTAATACAAAATTTTAATATTGCTTTATACATTCATATAAGATCTAAAATGAAAATAAAAATAATTATGGAACTAAAATGCTTTTTGAATCAATAACAAGCATCATAGAATAATAAAGCACAATATCATATTTTATAAAATTTCTTATGTATAATGCGAACACTTTCTTAATGTTATTATACAATATATACAACTTATAAATGAGAGATACGTTTTGATTAAGATCAAAGTTATTTATAATGTTATCAACCATCATTTTTTTCTATGTTTCTAATGCTCTAAAACAATCACTTACAATTTTCCATTTATCACCCACTGCAGTGATCAAAAAGGTTTGATTAAATGGCTTTGAACTTTTCTCTTCGAACTTAACTTGTCCCCCAACCTTAACAAGGAATGTTAACTGATTAGTTATTCCTGGACCTATTAACAATAAAAAAAAAAAAAAAAATCAACATAGCAATAAGAAATGTTAAAAAATATATCTAAGAGATTAATTTCTATATTAAATCAAGAAGTAATTGAAACTAATTCTTTTTTAAATGCATTTAATTAAATTCATATTGTTTATATTTAGTTATTTAATAAGTTAAAATTATGTATAAACAAAGTAAATATGATTCTATGATTACAATACTTTACGATAATAGAGTCAATTATTTAATTTGCAATAAAGCTTTATTATACAATATTTCATTTTATCATAATGACATTATAGACAAATATGCAGTATTTTATCTGTTTGATAATATTTTTAAATGTAATTACCTGTGATAGGCTGCGCATCTAAAGTAATAATAGAATGTTCAGAGGGCGGTAAATCTGTCCAAAATTTTTGTATATTGTCTTTACTTTCAACTCCATTTCCATTCCATATTAAAGTAGCTGTATCCAAATATAATCTTGAAATTAACTGAAATATAAAATTCTAACATATAACCTAATACATTACGCGGGTATATATAAATGTAATAAGTACATAAAATACACTTGCATATCTTCGTTTGTCCAAACTTTCATAATATAATTTTGTAAATTCTTCAGCAGTTCTACATGCTTGATCAATTTTACTCTTTAAATCCTAGAAAATATTATTAATTTAATAACATTCGTACAAAGAATCACGCTATTTGACATGATAAATATATGACATAAACTAAACATAATAATCACACACCTGTTCCATTTTAACTTGTTTTTTTACGCTAAAATCAAGAAATATTTAAGTTTCTATAACAAAGTGTATTTATAACATATTAATGTTGTTACACAGCAACTAACAACAACGTGCATTGATCGGTTACTATTCGCAATATTTAAACATAACCAAAACAATTAAATATACGATGAAAACTATACATAATTTCTTGAAAACCCGCCCAATTAATTTTAATGCATGTTCTTGAACTTGTGAGTCACGAAACACAAAAATTAAACGTAAAGGTTCATGTTTATGAATTCATAGAACTGATAATATATACAAATTTAACATGATGTTATAACTGAGAATGATATGGATATTACTATGAATGATATAATAATGAATCAAAATCATTTCAAATAATTATTTTTACGAATACATGTAGGAAGTTTATTTATGATCATAATTATTAAAAAAAGTTGTGTAAGAAAGTTTATTACCTACTTCGTTGAAATAATGAAAACGTCCCATAACTAATTTAAATATTAGTAACAAAGAATTGTTTTGCAAAATGTGAAATCAAAGTTTTTTTATACTTTCTATATTATAAGATGATTAAAAATGGAAAAAAGAAGAATTGACGAATTGAAGAAAGAGAAGGGAGAGATAATAGTATTAAAAAGAATTAGCGAAATAGAAAAAAAAGAAGCGATAAAAATTTACAGATTCCAAGAGGGGGCGTGTAAGCCACATGTACCTGTTGACCTCCAATCTTACTGTAATCCATAATCCGTGAAGGCAAATCGCGAGATCTCGCTGGGTCGGTCACGTGACATCGAACTTCCACAGTTATTTTTTCAGGCATGATGGCGCCAAATGCCAGTATTCACTTTTATGTAAATATATTATCGATTCGGTGCATTTCGCGATTAAATACGATCGGTCACGGTTGTACGAATAATTTTTGAAAATAGCCAGAAGACGTAGGATCGTTGCAAAGTGAGTACGAACTGGCTATATGTTACTGGAATCGTTAATGAGGACATGTTGGTTAGGCTGCTGTGACAGAGGTGTACGCACTTATCTCTGTCAGCTCTGTGGCGATTCAAGAATTTGCTCGCCTAAGATTGGCATCCTCACGGTGGTTTTTCAGCTTTTCCGAAATCACGTGCAACTGTGCGCGCGGAAATATATTCAGCTAATAGATCAATAATAAGGTATTTAATGGTTTTCGGAGTGTGTGTAGAAACTTGTGTGGACTGCGCCCGAAGGTGCTGCCATCTGTATTGTCAATGTTGTTGGGTAGCTGGAGCAGCAGCAGCAGCAGCAGCAGCAGGAGCAGCAGCAGCAGCAGCAGCGTAATGGAGCCGTGAGCATTTTCTCCGTGCGAATACGCCGTTTCTCATAATTTCGCGCGTATCATGCTATCTAATGCTGTCCTCGGCTCGCTCGATCGAGAATACGTGCAGTGAGTGAAACCGCTTTGCAATAGGATTTACTTGAAATTTCCGGGATAGCTCCGTGTCAATGTTTACATGATATTTAGGATGGGAACAACCTTTTATGATTTTCGTACGTTTTGTGATTTTATCAAGACTTTCTTTAAAATCGAGCTTGTCCGAGGTTGCAATCTGTTGATTAGTGACTGCCGAATGTGTATGTTACACTATTATTGCCATGGAACTTGGTTTTTTATAACCTCTTCTTTTTCTACAGCTGAGACAGGAGTGTGGAATTGTGCTCAGCCAGTGGCTAGGATTGTGTAGTGGAAAACGTCCCTGTCTCAAAACAAGTACCACAACAATGCAGAATTTCAATTAATGGTGATTTTTCCACCGTGTAAAGTATGCATCTAAAACTTGAATGGTGGGGTTCAAAAGGAGACGTCACTTAACCGGACTGGCTGTGCGCGATTGCAATTTCATTCCAGTCTCGGCACACTGTTTTGTTGGTAACCACTATCTTTGATATTCAAAGTGTATGAGTGTGGTGTGTATATATAAAATTTATTATGCTTGCTATATCAGTGCTTGTTACTATTATAACTAAATGTCTTGTACAGTTTACTTCTTTTTCTGTTTATATACAAAAGTGCTTCTTTCTTACGCGTTTTTTTATTTCATATACAAAACAAAAGTTACTAAAAAACCTTATGTTAATTATAAACGTTTTTATTTTAGATATTTGTATGATATGTTTGCATATAATTACATATTGAAATTATATATAAATAATGTATTGCTTCTTTAGTAAAATGCAAAGCATGCATTTGTATTTAAAAAGACTATTAAACTATATTTGATCCTTTCTGACATTCTTTGAGCATGTTAAATCAAACTATTCGAAATTATTGTATGCATAATGTTAACCATATATCAAAATTATATGTAAAGTTCTATTAGAAAATATTAAATCTATAATATGCAATATTTAAAATATGTTAAATGTTACAAGATATTTGATTTGATAAAAAGTTGAAAATATATGTTCAATTTTAATTTATTTTTCTTCCTCTTTTTATATTTTGTTGATATGACAGTAATTGGAATTCCTAAAAAAAATCCTTCATCTAAAGAAGCAATTATGAATAAAAACTATTTCTTAAAATTATTTTAATTCTTTTTATTTTATTGTCACTTCGTATGTTTGTAATAGGTAATAATTAATGTAATCTTTTTACCTATATTTGTTGCAGTTCAATTAAAAGTCTGCTTTCAAGATAATGAATATATGGATAACTATGTAGTAAGTATTCTATACTGTTTATTTATAATATATATTTAAAATATATATAAGACAAATAACTATTTTCATTTCTTTTCAGGGTGTGCATAGCTCACCTGCATGTGCCACGTACCACTAGCTTATTTGGTGTAGTAGAATGGCACAACGAGGGAAGAGAGTCAATAGAAACGACAATGATTTGGCGTCTTGTCCAGGCGCGATTAAAAGGCGTAAATGCAGATTGGGTCCCGCTGCCACAGGTTCATCGGCCCTGCCAGCAGCAACGGGGCCTTCAGAAGAGGAGGAAACGATGGCGTCGTCCAGTCAAGGGGGGGCATCCTGGACCCCCCGACCTGTCAGTGACATTAAAATTTCAAGTATATACAATCGATCAGCTGCTGAGGCCCCAGCAGAACTGTTTCGTAAAGATCTGATCAGTGCTATGAAATTACCGGATAGTGAACCATTAAGTCCAAATGAGTACTGGGTTATTACTGATCAGTGGAAACAGGAATGGGAAAGAGGTGTTCAAGTACCTGTCAATCCAGATTCCCTTCCTGAGCCAATGGTTACTGTTACACAAACATCTCCTTTGAAATTACATGGTGAATTCAAATTGTAAGTATTAACCAACATTCCAAATAACATACTTTCTATTTCAAAATATATTTGGTAGATAATTCAAAGCTTTGCTTTTTTCTTAACATCAGTTTTTAATTTCTAGACCTAAAAAATTTATAAGAATATCCCGAGATGATTATTTCAATCCTGAAGATCATCATTTAAGTACTACACCTGCACGAGCAGAGAAAGCTTGTGCTTATGATCTAGATGATACAGATATTGCTTGGTTAGATGTATTGAATGGTGAAAGAGCGCAGGTAAGGAAATAAAATATGATGTATCTCCATGTCTGTGTGCATGTAAAACATATATAGTATATAAAATTTTTATATTAGAATAATGTTAATGTTCAATTCTGCATTAACATCAATATAGACCACACAAAGTTGTATAACGTAGTTTTTTTAAATTTACACATTTGTACTAAAATTTAATGTAAATTTATAATAATAGTTACATTGCAATTTAATATATTAAATTCATTTTCAATAAAGTTTAGAAGTCAAGACAACTTTCTATTATTCCTTTTACATAATTTTAGGCTGGTCAGTTACCTATCACCGAATCCGAGCTGGAGCGTGTAATAGAAGAGTTAGAACTACGGTGTTGGGAAAGAATACAAACTATCGTAAAAAATGAAGAAGGTCTTGGAATTGAATATGATGAAAATGTTATTTGTGACGTTTGTAGATCCGTAAGTGTTTTATCTTTTGATTATGTTTATCATATTCTTAAAAAAACATATCTAAATCAAGAATTGTAATTGCATAATAAATGATATAAATAATTTTATAAAATAAATTAATGAAGTGTTTTTCCACTTATTAGCCTGATTCTGAAGAAGGAAATGAAATGGTGTTCTGTGATTGTTGCAATATATGTGTGCATCAAGCATGTTATGGTATTACTTCAATACCAGATGGTTCATGGTTATGCAGAACTTGTTCCTTAAGTCAACGACCAGACTGTGTTCTGTGTCCAAACAAAGGAGGTGCAATGAAATGTACACGTAGTGGACAAAAGTGGGCTCATGTTTCGTGTGCACTTTGGATACCAGAAGTCAGCATTGGATGCGTAGAAAGAATGGAACCAATTACGAAAATATCCAGTATTCCGGTAATAATAATATATTGGATTAAAATTTTTCAAATTTAGGATTTTTATATTTCAAATGCTTAATATTTATGTTTATAAATAATTACAGCAAAGTCGTTGGGCTCTTATTTGTGTATTGTGTCGTGAACGTGTGGGTGCATGTATACAGTGCAGCATAAAAACATGTAAAACAGCGTATCATGTTACTTGTGCTTTTAAATATGGTCTTGAAATGAAAGCAATTATTGAAGATGAAATGGCTGATGATGGTGTCAAATTAAGGGTAAGTATATTAATAAATAATCACAAAAGTAAAGAAAAAAAAATTACATATTTTTCTTCTTCAATTGATTAATTGCCTTGTTTATAGTCTTATTGTCAGAAACACAGTAGAACAAATACGAAAGATAAAGTTGGCGTTGGAGGAAATATTGGAAATAACAGTGGTAATGGTGGTTCAGATTCTGAAGATGGTGAATCCAGAAGACGCAAACGCAAGGATATGACTTCGGAAGAAAAGAACCAAGCTCGTGCAGCAAAGTATGTAATGCCTGCAATGTAGAATTATGTACTTTATTATAATATAGTAACTGATATTATAATAGTCCCTGTATACTTTTGTTGGAATTATTTAATAGACTTTTTGTATGCATATCATTTATACGTTACTATGTTACAGTAATATCTCTTTCGTCATCTTAGGTTGCAGGAAATAGAAGCTGAATTTGATAAACACGTATGTCTAAAAGATATTGTATCGCAACAATTGGATGTAGATACAGACGCCATTATATACATTTATAATTATTGGAAGCTAAAACGAAGGGTAAGTTATTGATATCACCAAAAACATGAGATCATTACACTTTTAAAACTGCACCAACATTTTTTTTATGTTTTGTATATTATTTTTTAGGCTGGTCACAATAAACCGTTATTGGCACCACGTTGCGGTGAATTGTCAAGTGCTGGAGCACGTGCTCAAGGCCAAGCAGCAGATTTGGAAAAAATGCGTACGTTCGTGCAGCTCCGACAAGATTTAGAACGTGTCAGAAATCTATGCTACATGGTTGGTAGACGCGAGAAACTGTGTCGTTCTTTCTTGAGGTTACGTGAACAAACATTTCATAAGCAATCGTTGATATTGTCTGGACCTCCGCTACCACCAGCTGTAGCTGCATCCGTATTAGCAGCTAATCATGGACCATCAATATATGATCGTTTATATTCCCATCCTGATTCAGAGGAATACACACGTGATATCGACACATTAGTTGCAAGAATTGCAGGAATTAGATCGCCCACTCCAGTGTCCAGTAATGAAAAGAAAGTACAGCCAGATTTTAATGGTGCATCTAACAAGAAGATGTACTTCAATGGTTCTGTTAGAAAGAAAAGTTTATATGGTAGTGACTTATCTTCTATGAGCAGTAGTGAGCCAGATGTAATAAAAAGTACTGTGAAGGCATCAAATAAATGTTCAAATAAGTCGAAAAATTTTAAACTCGAGAGCGATTCGAGCACAGAGGACGAAATAAACTCTCCAAAGTCTAAAACAGCTAGACGCAAAGCCAAGAAATCTGGTGTTCAAGATAGAACTCGTTCGTTGCTTCAAGAAAGTAGTGAAAGTGATAAATTGGATACTGTGAATAATAGATCTCGTACGTTACAACATATGGAAAAAGAACTTGGTAGTGCATCAGGAAGTGAGAGTGATGAGTTGTTGCCTTTAAACACTAATTCAGCAACGCGTCTAGGACCTTCTGTAGCTTCTGCAATATATTCGGATACAGATTCAGATTCACAAGAACATGCTTCTCATTCTGCTGTACTTATAACTAAAGCTGCAGTTAAGGAATTTTCGGCAGCAGACATATCGAAAAATTCTCAGAAGAGCTTTACGTGCAAGGACACAAAACAGGATTACGTGGACGATTCAACCAAAAACAAAGAGAATGTAAAGAGCGCAAAGAAAAAAGAATATATTCCTTCGGCTCTTATAGTACCTCAAAGACAAGCTGCGAAAAAAGCTTCCGAAATCATGCAAAGATCGCAAGCTAAGAGGGACAATCTAACAACGGAATCTATAGAATTTGTTAAATCACCCGGTGAAGAAACAAAATCTACGAAACAAACGAAAGAGAAACCATCTGGTAAGAAACAAAAAGATAATAAAACGAATAAAGATCAAACAAAGAGTAACGATGTATATGATTTTGATAAAGAGTTTGGCGATGGTATGGAAATTCTTGCTTACGTACCGCAAAGACAAGCTGCGAAAAAAGCGGCTGAACATATAAAAAGCGGTATGGGTACAAAAATCGTCCAATCTGATGCGGAAATGTTAGACGTTAAGCTAAAGAAAGATTCACCGGAAAGCGGGAAAAAGAAAGAAAACAAGAAGGAAGAATCACCTAAGAAAGAAGAGACAATTAGGAAGGAAACTAAGGAAGAAGTATCTAAAAAACCGAAAAAATTACCAGAGTGCAAATATTTATCTTCTGTATTATCAAGTAATAGCGAAAGTAGCAGCAGCAGTAGTTGTAGCAGTTCTTCTGAAAGTAGCAGTGATACGGACGAAAGTAAAAGTCCTACGCAACAAATTCGAAGTTCTGTTAAAGATCAAGCGTCTTCGTCTAATACATCTTCTGAAAGTGATACAGCCAATCAATCCAAGAATAAGGCTGTAGTGAAACGACAATTTGTTAAATCAGTAGACGAGCCTATTCAATCTGAGAAGAAAAAGGTTATAGGACGGAAACTCAAGAAGCTGCCCGATAAGAAGCTTAAAACTTCCGACGGGCGGCATGGACCAGAGTTTCAGCCGCCGTCTACTGAAAGAGAAGAATCAAGCGGAACCTCAATCTCTAAGGAACAACTTCAACAACATCAGCAACAACAACAACAACAGCCAGATGAATCACAACAACAAACAATTAACAAAAAAGCAGATCAAAGAGAGTCATCAAAGAAATCCGGAATATTACAACCACAACCATCAACTGACCAAAATCTGTTTAGTGGGTCTCGAAATAATGATGGGTCACGAAATCTTTCTGGGTCCAAATCTATCAAGAAGTCCAATCAAATCATTAAGCAATCAGAACAACCACCTATCAAGAATAAAGAAGACAATAGTACAGGATCTAGGACAAAATCAGATACTCGTAAACGAAAATCTACTGAGATTCCGTCAAAGGATGACAAAAACGTTAAAGAAGCATCTTCCCTTAGAAAAGGTGAGAAAAGATTGACCGAAAAACCAACTAAAGAGATTGAAAAAGATATTAATAAAGATATTTCTAAAACGGTTACGTTAGATTCTATAAAGTGCGTTGAAAGTACCTTAAAGGCGGACGATAAAAAAATCAAAAAACCTAGTAATAAAAATGCAGTGAATACGTTAGAGGAAGAAATGAAGCAGCGTCGTGCTGAAAGAGACAGTCCGAAGAAATCGCTAAAAGGATTGGATAAACTTCTTGAGAAACGTGAACATATGGACAAATTATCAAAAACTAAGAATACAGAGATAAAGATAGAAAAGACAATATGTAACGAACAAAGTAATATGAAAGGATCCGTTCAAGAAAAACTTCCCTTAAACGACACGATAAAGAGCGAGGATCACAAAAATCACATAAGTGAGGATAAAATAATCGTGGATAAGCCAAAATCAGAGGAAATCTCAATTAAAAATGATATTACCGAGATATCGCACGAAAAGTTTGCGGATAGAAAAAGTAAAAGCGAGGATAAAATCGAAAGTATGCCTATCACTGATTCTTGTGAAACTCGATTAGCCATCGAAGAGACGTCGACAAAAGAAGGAAGAGATGATGTCTTTTCAAAGCCAACTCTTGATAAAATTGCAGTTTCTGAAAATGTGGAGAAAGAAGTTAATAAAAGAAAGAAATCTAGCAATCGTTCAATATTTTCACCGCAACATGGTAGCAAAGATCCTAGCGTGTCAGAACTATTTGATTTCGATCAAGACATATTAACGGATGACATGGTAAACGACGACGGCTTTAATATTCCTCGTGATGCCGAAGAAAGATCAGCACCGTTAACATTCTCTTTTAATAACGAGCTATGGTTTAAAGAAGATTCAAAGGAGGATAGTGCCCGAGAGACATTACATTTAGTGGAAAAACTACGTATGGAGCTATCGAAAAAATCGAATTCTAGTCAGTTCGAGCTAGAACCTGTCACCGTAGAAGACGACATAAAGAAGGAGGAAACGCAAGTCGAAAAGGCGGTAGATCAAATTCCTGAGGAAAATGAGGTGAAGATCTTAGAGACGGAAACTGTACCTGTGCAAGAAATGAAGGATACTGAGGAGCTTGCTCGAACGTCCGACGATATTGCTTGCAAAAATCATGTGACCGAGGAGAAACGAAAATTATGCTATACGAACAACAGCGATCATTATGTATCGTACAATAACGAGGATCTTGAAACTTCAAAAGTAACTGTAGTCGAGCGTGCTAAGTTGGACAGAGCCGAAGCGGATGAACGATGGGTGCCGCCGAGTATAGAGAATTTTAATCCTGCGGATGTGCATCTAAACACATTAATGGATAATCAAAATCACCGTTATGGCAATCATCAATTTACAAACGATATTGCGAACGTATTACCGGAAAGCAATTCCGATACGTTGGTACATTCTCAGTTGAACATGAACATGCAAGAACAATATCTTTTGCAACAGACTCATTCCATGGTCCGCGCTGCTCAACATTTGGAACCACATGCAGAGAATCGAGCACAATCTATGGCAGTAATGGAACAACAAGTGACAGGGATATCCACGCAAATGGTTGACGAAATAACACCGATGGAAATGGTGAACAGACATCTCATAGGTCTACCAAATTCAGAGGACGATCAAGGAAGCGAAATGGATCGAGTATTGGAGAAGGAAGAGATGTCATCGGATATGAGACAGGATTATGTTCAAAATGGTTCCCCGTACAATGAGATGAACGCTTCACGGCAGGATACTCGTTGGGCTGAGAGTCAAGTATTACCATCGCGAAGATCGACATCTTCGTCGATCACGTCGGCCTCATCTGGTGAGGATCATACTGCGATTCCTCCGTACAAGAACATACCACCTATGCCATTCCCAGCGTGTTCAGCAATGGACGCTGCGGCGTATCACGCTTATTCCGAAGCGAATTCTTATGCCGGTCCTGTTTCTCTCTTTCCTCCTCAACCATGCAGCGCTCCATTACCATATCCATCACCAGGCACGGCTATGTTTCCACCACCTTTCGGTGCACCTTTTCCTACTCCGCAATCTTTGTTATCGCACGTACCGAAACCATTGGAAGAGTCGTTGAACATGCAGGCATCGCCATGTACCGCCGCCTTCACTTCGTCTTCTCACAACATGGCCTTGACTGCAGCGATGGTATCACCTACGAAAGTACCAACACCACCACCTCAATCGGCACAGCCGTCGCTTGAGACGGAACATGAGCCACCTCAATTACAACAGGACGCGAATGTATCTGTGATGCCACCGATGATCCCATCTTTCCTTGATAGCACGACGACAACGGTAACGGCAGCAGCTGTAGTAACGACAGCAACGACTACTTCGACACCTATGTCAACGGCTATGTCGACGACGATGTCACCTGCACCACTGGCGACGGTGACCACAGCATCGACGACGTTGACGCCAACGGTACAAGTGAGCGAAGCCGCCGCTGCCGCCGTTGCAGCTGTGACTGCTGCTGTTGCAGCTGTCGAAAATGCTCAGGAAGTTCAGGTTGATAATAAAACGGTAACAGTACCACAACAATCCGGCAAGAAATCGCCATCCAAACCGACGAGAACGTCTGCCAGAGTAACCTCTCTTCAAGGCAAATCTCCTGGAAAATCACCGAGGCATGGAGAGACTATCAAGAGTACTTCCGTTAGTAGTGGTGGTCCACGTGGTCGTGGTCGTGGAGCAAAGGCCGGACAACAGCAACAGTCGGGTTACAGAAATCGTGGTCGCGGACGAGGTAGAGGTCGAGGTAGAAACAATCAGGCCTCTAACATCGGCATACTCTCGACGTTCCCCTCGAATGCTATGCACAACGACGATTCGATTCAGAACAAGCTTGTCGGTACAGTCTACGATTTTGATTCCGATGAGGATTCAACAAACGAGACTAACATCGCGGACTTGCGAACAATGCGCGAAAGGAAGAAATCTACGGACATCGGAGGTGAAAAGAGAGGTGAAGGATCGCTGCTGATGACTAATGACGGAATACACCAATCTCGTCTCTCTAGTCCGAGTACTTTACATAAGAAATACGCCGACGATAAGAGACTATCGTCACCAGCGATGCACGATGCTAACGTGGCAAGTGGAGTCGTTGCTGGTGCTGGTGGCAGCGGTGC